ACGGCTCGGAGAGGTCTTTCCCAATTCTGACGGAAATGGTGGTATTGCTCAACGTCATTTTACATAGCCGTATGAGTTTTGAGGGGATGCCAAATTCAGACATAGCGGCGTATAGGAAACTCCTTTTAGTGCTGTCAAAAGCGGCTTTAAAGTCGACAAATAGGTGGTAAGTGTCGATAATTTCCTCGCGGGTCTTTTCCAAGATTTGGCGTATTGTGAATACCTGGTCTATGGTGGATTTGCCAGGCCTAGAGTCACACTGATAAGGCCAAATCAGTTCATTGATGGTGGGCTTCAGTCTTTCACCCAATACGCTCGATAAGACCTTGTAACCTATGCTTAGAAGGCTAATCCCGCGGTAGCTGGCGCGAATGGCGGGGTCACCTTTCTTGTGGATTGGGCAGAGCACACTTAAATTGCAGTCGTCGGTCATGCGTTCATCTGACCATATTCTGCACAAGAGTTGATGCATGCACCTTATCAACTCCTCGCTGCCGTACTTGAATAGCTCAGCTGGCAGGCTGTCAGCTCCAGCAGCTTTGTTGTTTTTCAGCCGCGTTATTGCTATACGTACCTCGTCATAGTCAGGCGGTGGAACGTCGACTCCGTCAGCATCGACTGCGGGCTCGGGTTCTTATTCTCCACAACTTTCCGTGCTGCTTCCATTTAGTAGGGCGGAAAATTTTCCCTCCATTATTTAAGTACGCTCTGGACATCAGTTACTAGGTCGCCATTATTGTTCTTACAGGAGTACGCCCCGGTCTTTAAACCTTCCGTAAGTCGCCTAACTCTCTGGTAAAATTTTCGGGCATTCTTCCTGTTGGCCAGCATTTCAAGCTCTTCGCACTCACGTATTTCGGCCTCTCTCTTCTTATTGCGGCAAATACGTCGCGCTTCGCTCTTCAGATCCCTATAGTGGTCCCACATAGCGCGCGTTGCGCCCGATCGCAGTGTGGCCCTGTAGGCGGCATCTTTTTTTTCTGCAGCTTCCTGACACTCCTCATCGTACCAGTTGTAATTAATGAGCGGGAAATGTGGTTCCACTGCTCGCATATGTCGGTTTGTTGAAGAGTGCTCTCTGAGAGCAGGTGTGAGAGTCGAGTAGTGAAAGCGCTGGCTGTCTGTTGTGATTGCAGCTTTTCGACGTTAAGCTTTCCTTGCATATTTGGGCGCATATTTTTTGCTGCACAGAGGCGGGTGCGTATCTTGGCTGCAAGAAGATAGTGGTCCGAGTCGATGTTTGGGCCTCGGAGTGTGCGTACGTCTAAAACACTGGAAGCGTGCCTTCCGTCTATCACAACATGATCGATTTGGTTTCTCGTTTTCCGATCCGGAGACAGCCACGTAGCTTGATGGATCTTTTTATGCTTGAACCTAGTACTGCATACTACCATGTTTCGGGCCCCGGCGAAGTCGATCAGCCTCAATCCGTTGTCGGACGTTTCGTCGTGGAGGCTGAATTTTCCGACGGTGGTTCCAAAGATCCCTTCCTTGCCCACCCTGGCATTGAAGTCGCCAAGCACGATTTTGATATCATGACGGGGGAAGCGCTCGTATGTGCGCTCCAAGCGCTCATAGAAGAGATCCTTGGATACCTCGTCCTTCTCTTCCGTCGGGGCATGGGCGAAGATAAGCGAGATGTTGAAGAATCTCGCTTTGATGCGGATTGTGGCTAGACGCTCGTCCACCGGGGTGAACGACAGTACTCGGCGACGGAGTCTCTCTCCCACCACAAATCCAACTCCTTTACATGGCAGCTGTAGTAGACGTCGCAAGGCCCGGACATTGCTTGCCTTGCCCCGTCCAACGCATTTCTTGGATGGCGGTGATGTCAGCTTTTGTCCTTACGAGGACATCAACCAGCCGGGCAGAGGCACCTTCCCCATTAAGGGTCCGGACATTCCAGGTGCATG